GTAGGGAAAAGGAAGGTAACGTGGTGCGTTGCCTGATGTGAAAATGAGGAAGTCACCCTGCATCTTAGACAAATGAGGTAATAATATGGGTAAAAGGACTGAAAACCAAACTTTACACATAAGTTATACCACTGAGGAAAGTACTCTAAACAAAGTAACAAAACTCAAGATTCATTTGAGAACACCAGGCAAACAGATAAAAGCCAGCAACTTGCATAGCAAACATGATGCCTTTAAACACAGGGAAGAGAGACGTCAGCAAAAACTGCCAAGTAAGGACCTCTGAAAATCCTCACCACCATTAAAGGGAACAAGAACACAGGCAAAAATGATCATAATCAGCTTCTTCAAACCTCTACACATTAACCAGATGCTTGAAACAATTCGGGGAGCATTTTTTCAAGAAAGACAGGAAGAACAGTGAGCTCTGAGGCATTTAAATTTGCCCTATTCCTCTACCCACCTCCCAGCAGCCCTGAAAACAGACAGCCTCGCAACCACTGGACAGGGCTGTGGGGCTGGAGCTCTGTCAAAGCACCATTCCCAGAGAACTGTTATTATTTGACTGTCTGGTAGTTCCCAGGAAGAATCCATTTGCAAGCCTGTCTTTATTTAACCTGACGTGGCACTTGCCCACTGTGAATAGCCTATTCCCCCAGAGAGTTTATCAAAAGCAATCAGAAGCAACTACTGATCATCTTAGCCATCCCAGACATTGGGTAACAGCTGGGGCAAACAGCAGGCTAACCAAAACCATTAAAAAGAAAATCTAGGGAATGAGAGAGATTGGTTCAAGACGGCGGAGTAGATGGACACGCGCTCACTCGCTCTTGCGATAACACCTAAATCATAACTGCTGAACAATCATCGACAGGAAGACATTGGAACTCACCAAAAAAGATACTCCACATCCAAAGACAAAGGAGAAGCCACAGTGAGACGGTAGGAGGGGCGCAAACACAATAAAATCAAATCCCATAACCACTGGGTGGGTGACTCACAAACTGGAGAACAACTATACCACAGAAGTCCACCCACTGGAGTGAAGGTTCTGAGCCCCATGTCAGGCTCCCCAACCTGGGGGTTAGGGAATGGGAGGAGGAATTCCCAGAGAATCAGACTTTGAAGGCTAGAGGGGTTTGAGTGCAGGACTTCGACAGGACTGGGAAAAACAGACTCCACTCTGGCGGGGAACACACCAAGTACTGTGCGCATCAGGACCCAGGGGTAAGGAGCAGTGACCTCAGGGGAGACTGAACCAGACCTACCTGCTAGTGTTGGAGGGTCCTGTGCAGAGGCGGGGGGTGTTTGTGGCTCACTGTGAGGACAAGGACACTGGCAGCAGAAGTTCTGGGAAGTACTCCTTGGTGTGAGCCCTCCCAGGGTCCGCCATTAGCCCCACCAAAGAGCCCAGTGCTGAGTTGCCTCAGGCCAGGCAACCAACAGGGAGGGAACCCAGCCCCACCCATCAACAGACAAGTGGATTTAACTTTTACTGAGCTCTGCCCACCAGAGCAACAGCCAGCTCTACCCACCACCAGTCAGTCCCTCCCATAAGGAAACTTGCACAAGCCTCTTAGACAGCCTCATCCACCAGAGGACAGACAGCAGAAGCAGGACGAACTACAATCCTGCAGCCTGTGAAACAAAAACCACATTCACAGAAAGAAAAGATGAAAAGGCAGAGGGCTACGTACCAGATGAAGGAAAAAGATAAAACCCCAGAAAAACAACTAAATGAAGCGGAGATAGGCAACACTGCAGAAAAAGAATTCAGAATAATGACAGTAAAGATGATCAAGGACCTCAGAAAAAGAATGGAGGAAAGACTGAGAAGATGCAAGAAATGTTTAACAAAGACCTAGAAGAATTAACAAACAGAGATGAACAATACAATAACTGAAATGAAAAATACACTAGAAGGAATCAATAGCAGAATAACTGAGGCAGAAGAACGGATAAGTGACCTGGAAGACAGAATGGTGGAATTCACTGCTGCAGAACAGAATAAACAAAAAAGAATGAAAAGAAATGAAGACAGCTTAAGAGACCTCTGGGACAACATTAAACGCAACAACATTCGCATTATAGGGGTCCCAGAAGGAGAAGAGAGTGAGAAAGGACCCGAGAAAATATTTAAAGAGATTATAATCATAAACTTCCCTAACGTGGGAAAGGAAATAGCCACCCAAGTCCAGGAAGCACAGAGAGTCCCAGGCAGGATTAACCAAAGGAGAAACACGCTGAGATACACAGTAATCAAACTGGCAAAAATTAAAGACAAAGAAAAATTATTGAAAGCAGCAAGGGAAAAATGACACATAACATACAAGGAAACTCCCATAAGGTTAACAGCAGATTTCTCAGCAGAAACTACAAGCCAGAAGGGAGTGGCATGACCTATTTAAAGTGATGAAAGGGAAGAACCTAAAACCAAGATCACTCTACCTGGCAAGGATCTCATTCAGATTCAATGGAGAAATCTAAAGCTTTACAGACAAGTAGAAGCTAAGAGAATTCAGCACCACCAAACCAGCTCTACAACAAATGCTAAAGGAACTTCTCTAAGTGTGAAACACAAGAGAAGAAAAGGACCTACAAAAATAAACCCAAAACAATTAAAATGGTAATAGGAACATACATATTGATAATTACCTTAAACGTGAATGGATTAAATGCTGCAACCAAAGGACATAGACTGGCTGAATGGATACAAAAACAAGACCCATATATATGCTGTCTACAAGAAACCCACTTCAGACCTAGGGACACATACAGACTGAAAGTGAGGGGATGGAAAAAGATATTCCATGCAAATGGAAATCAAAAGAAAGCTGGAGTAGCAATACTCATAAAAGATAAAATAGACTTTAAAACAAAGAATGTTGCAAGAGACAGGGAAGGACACTACAAAATGATCGAGGGATCAATCCATGAAGATACAGCAATTACAAATATATATGCACCCAACATAGGAGCACCTCAACACATAAGGCAACTGCTAACAGCTATAAAAGAGGAAATCGACAGTAACACAATAATAATGGGGGACTTTAACACCTCACTTACACCAATGGACAGATCATCCAAACAGAAAATTAATATGGAAACACAAGCTTTAAATGACACAATAGACCAGATAGATTTAATTGATATTTATAGAACCTTCCATCCAAAAACAGCAGATTACACTTTCTTCTCAACTGCACATGGAACATCCTCCAGGATAGATCACATCTTGGGTCACAAATCAAGCCACGGTAAATTCAAGAAAACTGAGATCATATCAAGCATCTTTTCTGACCACAACACTATGAGATTAGAAAATTACAGGGAAAAAAATGTAAAAAATACAAACACATGGAGGCTAAATAATACGTTACTAAATGACCAAGAGATCACTGAAGAAATCAAAGAGGAAATCAAAAACTACCTAGAGACAAATGACAATGAAAACACAACGATCCAAAACCTATGGGACGCAGCAAAAGCAGTTCTGAGCGGGAAGTTCATATCAATACAATCCTACCTCAAGAAACAAGAAAAATCTCAGATAAACATCTAACCTTACACCTAAAGGAACTAGAGAAAGACGAACAAAACCCAAAGTCAGAAGAAGGAAAGAAATCATAATGATCAGAGCAGAAATAAATGAAATAGAAACAAAGAAAACAATAGCAAAGTTCAATAAAACTAAAAGCTGGTTCTTTGAGAAGATAAACAAAATGGATAAACCTTTAGCCAGACTCATCAAGAAAAAGAAGGAGAGGACTCAAATCAATAAAATTAGAAATGAAAAAGGAGAAGTTACAACAGACACCACAGAAATACAAAGCATCCTAAGAGACTACTACAAGCAACTCTATGCCAATAAAATGGACAACCTGGAAGAAATGGACAAATTCTTATAAAGATATAAACTTCCAAGACTGAACCAGGAAGAAATAGCAAATATGAACAGACCAATCACAAGTAATGAAATTGAAACTGTGATTCAAAATCTTCCAACAAACAAAAGTCCAGGACCAGATGGCGTCACAGGTGAATTTTATCAAACATTTAGAGAAGAGCTAACACCCATCCTTCTCAAACTCTTCCAAAAACCTGCAGAGGAAGGAACACTCCCAAGCTCATTCTGTGAGGCCACCGTCACCCTGATACCAGAACCAGACAAAGATACTACAAAAAAAGAAAATTACAGACCAATATCACTCATGAATATAGATGAAAAATCCTCAACAAAATACTAGCAAACAGAATCCAGCAACACATTAAAAGGATCATACACCATGATCAAGTGGGATTTATCCCAGGGATGCAAGGATTCTTCAATATACACAAATCAATCAATGTGATACAGCATATTAACAAACTGAAGAAAAAAGAACATATGATCATCTCAATAGATGCAGAAAAAGCTTTCAACAAAATTCAACACCGATTTATGATAAAAACTCCAGGAAGTGGGCATCGAGGGACCCTACTTCAATATAATAAAGGCCATATATGACAAACCCACAGCAAACATCATTCTCAATGGTGAAAAATGGAAAGCATTTCCTCTAAGATCAGAAACAAGACAAGGATGTCCACTCTCACCACTATCATTCAACATAGTTTTGGAAGTCCTAGCCACGGCAATCAGAGAAGAAAAAGAAATAAAAGGAATACAAATTGGTAAAGAAGAAGTAAAAGTGTCACTGTTTGCAGATGACATGATACTATACATGGAGAATCCTAAAGATGCCACAAGAAAACTAGAAAACTACTAGAGCTAATCAATGAATTCGGTAACATTGCAGGATACAAAATTAATGCACAGAAATCTCTTGCATTCCTATACACTAATGACGAAAAATCTGAAAGAGAAATTAAGGAAACACTCCCATTTACTACTGCAACAGAAAGAATAAAATACCTAGGAATAAACCTACCTAGGGAGACAAAAGACCTGTATGCAGAAAACTACAAAACACTGCTGAAAGAAATGAAAGATGCTACAAACAGATGGAGAATATATACCATGTTCCTGGATTGGAAGAATCAATACTGTGAAAATGGCTATACTACCCAAAGCCATCTACAGATTCAGTGCAATCCCTACCAAATTACCGAAGACATTTTTTACAGAACTAGAGAAAAAAATCTTAAAATTTGCATGGAGACACAAAAGACCACGAATAGCCAAAGCAGTCTTGAGGGAAAAAAAACGGAGCTGGAGGAATCAGACTCCCTGACTTCATACTATACTACAAAGCTACAGTAATCAAGACAATACAGTATTGGCAGAAAAATGGAAATATAGATCAATGGAACAGGATAGAAAGCCCAGAGACAAACCCACACACCTATGGTCAACTAATCTATGACTAAGGAGGCAAGGAGATACAATGGAGAAAAGACAGTCTCTTCAGTAAGTGGTGCTGGGAAAACTGGACAGCTACATGTAGAAGAATGAAATTAGAACACTCCCTAACACCATACACAAAAATCAACTCAAAATGGATTACAGACCTAAATGTAAGACGGGACACTATAAAACTCTTAGAGAAAAACACAGGAAGAACACTCTTTGACATAAGTCACAGCAAGATCTTTTCTCATCCACCTCCTAGAGTAATGGAAGTAAAAACAAAAATAAACAAATGGGACCTAATGAAACTTAAAAGCTTTTGCACAGCAAAGGAAACTACAAACAAGACGAAAAGACAACCCTCAGAATGGGAGAAAATATTTGCAAACAAATCAACAATGGATTAATCTCCAAAATATATAAACAGCTCATGCAGCTCAATATGAAAAAAACAAACAACCCAATCCAGAAATGGGCAGACTACCTAAACAGACATTTCTCCAAAGAAGACATACAGATGGCCAAGAAGCACGTGAAAAGCTGCTCAACATCATTAATTACTAGGGAAATGCAAATCAAAACGACAATGAGGTATCACCTCACACAAGTTAGAATGGGCATCATCAGAAAATCTACAAATGCTGGAGAGGGTGTGGAGAGAAGGGAACCGTCTTGCACTGTTGGTGGGAATGCAAACTGATACAGCCACTATTGAGAACAGTATGGAGGTTCCTTAAAAAACTAAAAATAGAATTACCATATGACCCAGCAATCCCAAGACTGGGCATATACCCAGAGAAAACCATAATTCAAAAAGACAAATGCACCCCAGTGTTGACTGCAGCACTATTTACAATAACCAGCATATGGAAGCAACCTAAATGCCAATCCACAGACGAATGGATAAAGAAGACGTGGTACATATATACAATGGAATATTACTCAGCCATAAAAAGGAAACAAATTGGGGCATCTGTAGAGACGTGGATGAATCTAGAGACTGTCATACAGAGTGAAGTAAGTCAGAAAGAGAAAGACAAATATTGTACATTAACGCATATATGTGGAACCTAGAAAATGGTACAGATGAACCGGTTTGCAGGGCAGAAATTGAGACACAGAAGTAGAGTACAGATGTATGGACACCAAGGGGGGAAAGTGGTGGCGTGGTGGTGTGATGAATTGGGAGACTGGGATTGACACATATATACTAATATATATATATAATGGATAACTAATAAGAACCTGCTGTACATGGCTTCCCTGGTGGCGCAGTGGTTGAGAGTCCGCCTACCGATGCAGGGGACACGGGTTCATGCCCCGGTCCGGGAAGATCCCACATGCCGCAGAGC